TGGTGGAAAATGAGCAATACTAATGTATTCACTCGCAAATGTAAGTTTTTGGTAGTTCGTCTACCTTAATTGTACAGTCGATTTACGTGTACTCGAACGAATGCATTTTCCTCAGACTAACAATCACATATATAAGCCTATTTTAGCTACGAAACAAAAAAGCATAAATAACGTTATTTCGACTTAATTTTCAACGAAGGCCAGTCTAATTCTTTCGCAGATGTCTTGATGTCAGGATTAGCTTACTGCGGACAGAGAGTTAGGCTCAATGGCTTCTTATTAATGCAGCCGTTATGGCGCCCCTAGACGGGAGCCTACCTAGCGAGGTGTGTTGTTGCTACGCGCGCTGAGTGTTGGTCGCGCCAGCCGCCCGAGCCCTCCCTCATCTCCGGTCTTCTCCACTCTGTCTTGACATCGGGTTCCGGTATGGGAGTGGTGAGTGAGTGGGGTAGATTCTCCGCAAGTCCTCTCTCACTATAATCCCGCGGGAGTCACCGCGTTGCTTCAGCCTACTGAAGCTCGTGGTGGACATCGTCGAGAGCGACGGTCGAACTGTCGGGGAGTGTACGATACCCCGATGCACGCGGTTGAACCGGGCCTGGTGTCTGATAAAGGCAACCGGTGAAGACATGTTATGACGCCAAACCCCTGTCGACGGAGGCTCAGCCATGCCCATGCGCAAGCTTTGACGGCGTTGTTCACACCGGAACAGACAGCTCATACAACGAAGAGCTGCTGAGATGCTTAGGTCGAAAGATAGCCTAACGTTTGACGACAATTTCAACACAGGTCAACGTACCGTTGAGGTGAACCGCCTTAAAGGAATACGTCCAAATTGGTGTACAGGTGAAAGTCAAAAATCTGCAGATGACTACCCCCCTCGTTGCCAGGGTAGCGGAGTCGTCATCATTCGGTGACCATGGTGCAAATTTGGTCACATGCGGAAGTTGGAGTATAGAGTGCGAGAGGGTCCGAATATGGCGCCAGGCACCTCATATTTTTTGCCATTGATGTGGCGCATGTCAGGAGTAGATGATGAAATTTAGTTTGGGTGGCCAACCGCCCTCAGAATATAGTTACCTGAATGAAATCGAAGGGCCAAATTAAACGGCTTACTGCCCGTCAAACTGGCGAGGCCACTCCCTTTAAGGTAGGAGCAGCAAAACCGCACGGCAAAGTAGATAGTTATATACTCTTGGCAAAATGTGTTGTAGAGGATCTCTGGTGAAAACGTCCAGATGAACGGAGCTAAAGACATGGCCGAATCTGAGAGCTTCTGTTGTAGAGACGCGCCAACAGCTACAGTTTAAGTATTAACTAGCAGCGAGAGAAATTTTTGGAGGCAGGGTACCTCAATATGACAGGGGCAGCAAAGGGAGCTTTCATTTTCCAAACGTGGTCGGTACCTCATCGACGAGGCCAAGTCGTCGTATGGTAAAGTTAAACAGCCTACCACTTAGTTCCTCGATTTCCCCACCATCAGCAGAGGTCAGAGGCCAGGGGCGTGGATATCTGCTACTGACTAGTTAAACGTGTTTTATGCAAGCGAAACATAAATATACGTCTAAAATTTAATCCTGTAGAGCAGGTTATATTGGTCGCACGAATCAGCGCTTATACAAAACAATAAGGGGGCACTTCACGGTATGGTTGAGAAAAGGTGAAGTCAGCAGCATAAACGGTGCCATTCTCACCTACATGGTTGATTCCGGACATCATACGGACACCAACGAAGCCTTCCGGGTGATTTATAAGGTCTCACCGAACCATCCAAAGTCTCTGGGTAAGCGTCTGCTAGCAACAGCAGAAGCGACCGCTCTCAGGCCGAGGAAGCCGGCGTTGTGTGCGCAAAATAACCTCTTACAAGCTCCGCGCCTGGCACGGCCAAAGATGGCTTAACTGCGTGCACTCGTCCGCTCTCTCTCTCTCTCTGTCCTTCACCTCCCCCTCCCCACCCTCTCCACCAACCCTCAACGCCGCGTAACCAGCCTTCGCTTATCCACCCCCACCTATTCCCGCAATTCACTTGTATGAAAAAACGAACATGTTTTAGGTTACATCCCATTCCTGTATAAAGATAATGGCCGACGAGAATTGATCAAAAACTTACATAGGCTCACCAACTACCCCTTCTGCAAACCTAAAACCCGTGTAGAAATTATAAGTGAAGATGTACTCACCTGAGACGCAGGCAAACAGCCCCTAGTTCGATTGCAATTCAGGCCTAACGTAGGACTGACAGTGTAGCCGATGCCCAACATTAACGTGGCCGGCGTCCTTGCTCCAGGCTGGCTGTCTCAAGGTCATCGACTCTCATCATGATCGCTTTCAAACTCAATGACCTATACCTACTTGACCGACTTCCACTCCGGACACATGTAAAGCCCATTGCCTGAGACTAGGTTTGGAGTGACCAGACTAGGAATAAGGGTAATTGTTTTTCCCACGCAGCTGCCATTATCCACCTAGATCCGACCGAAGCGGAATCATCGCTCCCAGTCGCAAGCTTGTTTTTATCCCCCTTTAATTTACTAGCTCTGTAATCCTGTCCATATCCATAGCTTAGTCTATACTTTCAATTATACTCTCGTCCAGTAAAAGCCCATTGTATAAAAAAACCCCAGCTACCCCCTCCCCTCCAACTGTCATTTTTAAGTTTGTGTATGATCGTTATATGTATCCGTTGATGACTATTCTTCGTGCATTCTTAATAAACACTGAGCGTTGACATTCCCACTGGCTTTCCACCCTTCGGGAGCCTGCTGACACTATCGAACCTCATAGTGTGAGGACACAACCAGAGGCCAGCGGACGCAGACGAACAACTGAGTACTGGCCCTAATCAGAAGGAAACTACGCTCCGGGTTTTACACACATATATGCGTGCGTCCAAGCTCCCTCCCATCCCTCTGCCTATACGACATATGCACTTGACACGACACCTCTCGGGTGATGCCACAGACATCGATTGGAGAACATCTGAGCCGGCTCCACAATCCTAGATAAGCAGCTGTCGCCACCGCCTCTCTCTCTCTCTCTCAGGAATGCCCGAACACATACAATAGTAGCTTTAGTTTCAGAGTTGCGAAAATTCCCATCAGAGAATTCAGAAGTCCAGTTTGGCGAGTATACGTGTACTTTCGACAAATTCTCGTCAGGCCTTACATTTATATGGAAAATGAGTGCGAGGTCAAACGCGTTCGTCTTTTTTGGACAAATGAGTCGTGGGAATGGGGGTGGGGGTCGATAAGCGGAGGCGGATTATAAGGGTAGGCTTTGATGGAGCAGTCTATGGGAGGGGGAAGGGGGAGGGAGACAGACAGCGTGGATGACTGCATGCCGCTAAGTGACTGTGG